GTGTTTATTATGATCATTATGCTTATATTATGAGCATATGTATGAATGTTTATAATAACATAGTTGCAGTAACTGCTGAAGTATAGTAAACTTCCAAAAATGGTTGTGTTTTAACACAGATTAGCTTTCTAAGGAATAATATTCGGAATGGCTTAAATAAAGGGAAAGTAATCGAATAGTCAAAATAATTTCATTTTTTTGGCCAATGCATTATACAGTACGAAGATTGGGAGGTTCTCCCCTTTCTCCACAAAATCTCGAATATTGAAACTGTTACAGTTCACTGCAAAGCAAGCAACGGACCTTTTTTTTTTTTTTTTGTCACTTTCCAATCTGGATTGAATAGGACTAAAAGTTCTGCGGTCTACCAACCCAAGCGAAGAATAAAAACAACATTATTTAGTTCTTTATTCTCCCAATACCGGTAGCTGTTGATTCCGATTGCGTAATATCACATAGGGAAGAATTATGGCGCACGTATTGCGCAATAACGTTTGCTATGCAGACATAATTAATTTTGATGTCCGAAATTTGTTTATGAACACTTAAAAGAATTTTACTGTGCTTGCTAAGCAGAATGTTTTTCAGTTCCATTGGTTTATTTTTATATGATGCACATATCAAAATGTCAAAAGTATTTATTTAGCGGAAAAATCTAAAGAGCGGCTACAGTCTAACCCCCTTTTGCTCCTCTTTTTCAAGTTACGCTCGACTGTCTGAATATTCCCCAATTTCCAAGTATGCGAGTTAGTTAAGCTTTTACTATTAAAGGATGACTGCATGAAGCAAATTTCTGTCTTCTGATTTCAGAAATGTTCTTTTTTACTTTAAATTACTTTGCTTGCAATATCTGTTAAGGGAAAACTGATATACAAGGAAAATTTTAAAAATGTTCAGAATTTAGATTTAAATTATTTAAATATCAGTATGAGTGGAAAAATAAATTATATTTATTATTAGGTTCCAAGCGAATACAATAAATATTCCTTATTATTATTTATTTTCTCTATTTTGAACTGAATTTTCATCATTAAATCTTGTAATATAGTTTAGTTCTGCATAGTTTTTTTTCCTCTCATTGTAAACTAGTTCTGTAAATTGAACTGTTATTTAAAATTTAAAAAAAAGTAATTATTTCCCATGGTTGAGGTAATGCTTATTCTCTCTTAATAAATACTGCATTTCTCATTATTTTAAATTACAAGTCTAATTTTTAAGGTTATGCAGTTGTGTATAATGTAATGAGACAAGTGCTTATTTTTTTTTTTTTCTTAAAATGTGCTTGAAAAGTGCTTATAGCTGCTTATTTTTTTAACTAAAATGTGGCTATGAACCCTGATTTAGAATATTCATTCATACAGTCATTTTATTAAGAATATTCTCTAATTTGTTATAAAGGATTTAGTTTCTTGAAACATGTTAGCAATATATTTCAGTGCTAATTGTTTAAAGAAAAATAATTTTTTATATGAATTTTCACAAAAGAGCTTCTGATGTAATGATAATTTTCACAAACGATCTGGTGTGATGGTAAATTCACTGTGGATCATTTGATGATATCTAAATTTTGAATGATCAAATCTTTATTTATACAGTCAAAAGTCTTTAATCCGGACTCGTCAGGACTTCGGCGATTCTGGATTATAGATCATGAGTTTAAATCTGGTAAGATGGCATGCAGAAATTATAAAATTAAAAATATGAAATCGTAATTTATGAAATAAAGAGCAATTATGATCTAAAGCAATGGTTCTTAACCGGGGGTGCGAGAATGTATTTTGAGGGGTGCGGGAGAAGCCCCTACCTAACCATAAAAATTATTAAATATCATTTATTAAATATCTTATAATAAAATATTTGAAATCTGCAATAGTGTCCCTAATATTGAAGCTCATAAAAAATTGGTAGCACCTAGCTCACTTATCGGCAAAAGACACAGGAAAGAGCCGGTGCCGATGGGTGTATGCATTACGCTACAAAAAAGCATGAAACACTACAAATGAACGCGAACAGGTAGCTAGGTGACGGAGAAAAGAAAAAAAAATTTGTGGGAATACAAGCGGAGAACGTTATCCCAGCTTGCGCATGCGCTGAATTCAATATGTGCTACTCCAATGGAATCTACGGATGCACAGAATTGTATCTGCACTACTGCGCCTGTGTTAGATTGAGTCAAGTTGAGTCAACTATTGCATCTGCGACATGTGTATTGTGTATTCTGACTTGTCCAGAAACCTCTTGAGACTAATACATTCTTGATTGCCCGTTCAAGCCGAATAGAATTCAGTGATATTACAAACGTAAGAACATTATATATATTATATTATATTATTTCTAAATAATTAAATCGATTATAGTGAACCCCACTATGTCAAAAAAACGACAATGGAACGATAAGTATCTCGGTTATGGATTTACCTGCACAACCGAAAAAGATGGCACACAACGACCGCAATGCATCTTGTGTTCCAAGATATTTTCAAACAGCAATCTCAAACCATCAAAGTTATTAGAGCATTTCAACAATCTGCGTGTTGGTGAAAAAGCGCATAGCATGAACAGCTTGAAGTCAGAGAAGGCTCGGTTTGATACCAGTGGAACTACCCTAAAATTGTGGACCAGCAATTCAAAAACCTTTATTAGAAGCATCATATCAAGTGGCATATTTATGTGGGGGAAAAAAAAAGAAACCTCACACGATCGCTGAAGAGTTGATTAAACCTTCTGCTTTAATTATTGCTAAAACAGTTTTAGATTCGGAAGCACATAAAAAAATCCAACAGATTCCGTTATCGAATGATATTATATGATCGCGAATGCAAGATCTCGGTGAAGATATTTTAATGCAAGTAATTGAAGACATAAAAATCAGTCCACTAAAAATAAGCAGGCAACTGGATGAGTCCACTGATGTTGATAATTGTAGCCAACTTTTGTTATTTGTCAGGTATGTGAAGGAAAAAAGAGGTGATAGAAGAATTTCTATTTTGTGAGCCACTGGGAGGTGAATACGAGAGGAGGAATTGATGTTTTCAATCGCATCAAAGATTTTTTTACTAAATATCAATTACCAATGAATGTGATTGGCTCAATATGCACTGATGGAGCCCCAGCAAACAGTTAGGCAAAAATTCAGCATTTTTTCACACATGAAAGGAGAATTACCGGAAGTTATAATAACGCATTGCGTCGAAAGCATTGCCAGAAAGTTTAAAACAACATTTAACTACAGCAGTAAATGTAGTAAAATACATCCGAGGGTGAGCACTTATCATCGCATTTTTCGTGCATTTTGCGAAGAAATTGGTGCTGATCATACCATGTTCCTATATCACACCAAAATACGATGGTTATCTAAGGGTCGCATGCTTAACAGAGTTTTTGAATTGCGTGAAGAAATTATTTAATTACTGACTGGTCAAAACTGTTATTTAGTAAAAGATTTTGAGAGTAATGATGCAATGCTGAGGCTAGCCTACTTAGCAGACATATTTAGCCATTTAAATTAATTGAATCTATCAATGCAAGGATTTGGTATAAATATAATAATATCTAGTTAAAAATTATCTTCATTTATAGCAAAATTAGGAATTTGGATATGTTGAGTAGAAAAGGGGAATTTTACAAACTTTCCCTTGCTTGATTCTGTTATTGCGAAAAATGAAAAGAATACAATTATACCCGACATTGTAATACATTTGAGACGATTGAGCGAATCATTCAATGGATATTTTTCTACCGGAAATATTATCAAAACTCAGAGATGGATACTGGATCCATTTCTATTTGACTTAAATTTGATAGATGATAGTGATCTGAAAAAAGATCATTTTATTGAAATGCGATCAAGTGGACATGTTCAAATGGAATTCGAACAATTAGAATTGCAACAATTCTGTTGTTCACAGTTACAACATTATCCAGAGATGGCGAACGGAGCACTTGCAGTTACTCTTACCCTTTGCTACCACCTACTTGTGCGAAATGGGATTTTCATCGCTTTTGCATATAAAAACTAAAGCGAGAAATCGCTTAAATGCAAGTGATGACTTACACGTATGTCTTTCAAAAAAGGAACCTCCCTTCTCCAGTATAATAATGAACAAACAACAACAGACTAGTTATTAATATAAATAATATTGTTTTGCATTTATATAAAATGTACAATGTTTTTCAATAAACAATAAGTTTCGCAAAAAATGTATTTTTCTAGACTACAAAAATTAAAACACATTTTTCAATGGGGTGCGGAGATATATTTTCAGATTCAATGGGGTGCGACTTGCTAGAAAGGTTAAGAAACACTGATCTAAAGGGTATCAAAATTTACAAAAAAAAAAAAAAAAAAAAAAAAAAAAGCTTTATATTTATTTGTTTACTTTATTAAACATTTCTTTCAACGCCGTGCATGCATATAAAGCATACATTACGCATAGTCGAAATTAGAAAATTGCAACCAGAAAACTATTTGATGTGTATTTGTGATATTTATAATGAAGAGGAATTTTATTTAAATCATATCAAAGACGGAGTACATCGAGATGAAATGCTGCATTTAGTAAGGAATTATAAGCCGAATAAAATAAAAACATCTGCCCTGAAGATAAGGATAGTGCTGACAGATCAAGGCATGCGTTAACGCATTATGCGTTGACGCATGCGCAGAAAGTTTGTAGCTTTGAGGTCCGGATTAAAGACTTTTGACTGTATATCAATTAACTGTTCATGTCTAAATGTGTTATATATATTATGATGATTAATTTTTATGTTACATTTGGAAGGAAAAGATTTTTAAAAAAGTGTTATTTTGGGGGCAATTATTATTGATGTAATAATTAGAGAAGAAGCAAATTCAGAATGAAATTCATCATGTTTTTTATATTAAATGTGATTCTTCAAGTTTATTGAAATAATTATAAATATTTAAAAGGGATCATTCTCTTTGGAATGATATCTTCTCAAAATACATTTTTCTTTTTCTTTTTTTTTTTTTTTTCAAGTTTGAAGAATGGTCTCAGAAATACAGTAAATGCAATGATGACAGGATATTGGAATGCTGTGTAAGCTTAGCAGAAAAAAGTATGTTTATAAAATTTATAATGTTTTATTTTGAAAATCTAGGAAATTTCTGAATTTTCTGGTGCATGCTTTTTATACATTTACCATGCACCATTTCTGAATTGCTGTAATTTGCTTTTTAGTTTATTATTCCAAGACATTCATATGCAAGGCATTCATATTCATATACATATTCCACGGCATTCATATTCATATACATGTCAAGAACAGTGCAAAATACATGTATGTGTTTTATGTATACAGCCTAGAATATTCCCTTTGTTCTTCCATTACTAAATACAGTTCATTATCATAATGAAGGATAAATTTTTCTAATTAACCAAGTTTTTAGTTAAAATTCATTTAGGTATTGATGTTAATTATAGAATGTTAATTATAGAGAAGAGCCTCTGAAAACGTGTACAAATCACTTCTAATGTTAGTGTCTTCTAATGTTAGCTATGTTGTAAGCTTAAAGGATACAGCAAATCAATCCATGTTTTTGTTTATTGCAAAAATTTCAGTATCTGATTTCCAACGTTTTTGATAGTTATTGATTAAAAAGAGTTTCCATTGCTTCCAACAAAGCCAAAGCAGCTGTTAATTCCATCTACTGAATATTCATAAATAGAAAATCAATGAAATTTATCACCTCCTTATCTGTTTGAAGGCTTGTGATGTAATTGTCTAAATTTTTGACTGTATCATCACTTTTCAGAATAATTTTGAATAGCTGCTGTATATGGTAAGTAATGAGCTTTTCATCTAACTCGGAGATATTCTAGCCGCTTTCAGTAAAATTTCCGCATGTAAAATTTAAATAGTTGACGGCATTCTTTCAGTCATTATACCATTGCTTTGAAAAGCTTTGATGTTAATCCAAAGGTGAAGAAACTTTACATGCATAATCAGTTTCTTCCTTCCAGGTCTTTAAAAAGCCTTTCTAAAACAGACTTATCAAATATCCTTTTTGTTTTCCTGTTGGATCTCCTATTCTTAAGCAATCTGTTTCCCATGGAATTGTTATTCATGCTTCCCTAATTATCCTTTAAATGGCTAAATGTAATATATTTAATATTTTATTATTTAACAAATAATTATATTTATTATCCTTTTATATTGGAGTGGCAACTCCATATTTGTATCAAGTAACTGTTGTTCAGCAACGTCAGAGATTGTTTAAAATTGTTATTCTAAAAGTTTTATCAACTAGTATATGTATGAAAAATTTGTAAATTCAAATAATCTATCTCAATAAACTAAAAATAAAATTCAGGTTTTACTAAGGTCATCTGTTGTTTTGTTAAACACTGCAAAATACATTACAGTGTTTTGGATGTACTAATATTTAATTTTATGAATTTTTCAAAGAGGCTGCTGTGACACTTAAATAGCTTCAGTAAGAGAAATTAAACAGTTCTTCAGAAAGATGGGAGTAAATTAAATATATATTCCTTGTATTATTTTCCAAAATAAAATAGTGTTTTTTTTTTTTTTTTTTTATTTTTTTATTTTTTATTTAATGTTCATTGGTGAACCTTCTGGGCGCAAAAGCTGTTCATGGGTACGTCTGTGGAGGGGGTCGAGGGTTTGTCTACCGTTCCGACCTCAAAGCAGATGTGCAGCATTCAGCGCACTGTTCCTTTGCAGCGTTAGGTTTGCGGGCAGGGACGAGATACTAGCCGGTGGTTGTGGTCGGAACGTGTCTTTGATTGGTTTCACGCAAACTCGTCGAAAAGTTCTTTCAAGATATAGGTATGTGTTACCATTCTGTGGATCAGCGTGTTAGTTCACTTGTCCCTAGGGCCCTTCTTGTCTTCTTAAGGCGAGGTTGACAATTGAAAACTTCCACAGCATGTCTGCGACCAGCTCGGCCCCTGTGCCATTGCTGGGTGTCCAGACACGTAATAATAAAATTGAAACACGAGACTTCATGTGAGATAATCGCTCATCAAAAATATACTAAGGGTCTGCATGCAGAATTTAATATGCATTAATAATCATAAATATAACATTTTTTTCAAATATAACCTTCAGTGTAATAAAAATACATTTATTTTATAGTCCAAATGTTATGAAAAATTATAAATATAACATTTTTAATACAAATATTGAGCATTTTATATCTGGTTTAATAAAAGTGGTAGCGATTGCAAAAAATATTTTTAAGACTTTAATTTGAAATTTCATTGTTATTTTGCTTTTTGTATGCTTCATTTGGGAAAAGTGCTTACAAGTATGCATATTTTCAAAAAGCTATGTACATAAAATACTGGAAATTTTCTTTCAGGTAGGTGAAAAAATTATAAAAGACCACTAATGTAAATTTTCTTTACATTGTGTATGTGTATTTAAATCCACACATTTTATATGTAAGTTTTTGGGTAAGTCTCGATGTCACCTGAGAATGTCATAGTAAATTAAATGCAGTTTGTGTTCACTGAAATCTGTTCTCAGATTTTCTAATAAATTGTGAAAATAATTCTGTGTATTTTCATTTATAAGTTCCCGAGTAAATTAAATATCAGCTGAGAATGGAGTAGCAAGTATGCTGAAATGCAATGGGTATTAAATTTGACATCTGTTCTCTGAAATCCTGACATGTGTCCTTAAACTGTTTTGATGAAATGGGAATTAATGATGAATAGTTTTGCATAATTTTTCCAGGCAGAACTCCTGAATTAATTAGTACATGTTCTTGATGGAAGATTGTCACAGTTTCAATTAAATTTCTGAAGCTATCATTCTTTGAAACATTATTTATTATTTAGTTTTTTTCTTAAAGATACGAGTTAATTTATATGCGTTATCAGACTCAGTGTTGCATGCACTCAACCTTGCACTTAGTTATTTATTATATTATGTAGGCTGCATAATGGTTGTGGGTTGTACAGAAATGGTTGAGATCTCCAAAGCATATTGCAGGGTTGGACATTGTTTGCATTTGTTTTACGGTTTTTCCTATAACAAGAGTTTTGTATATAGCTTTCTAGTCTATATGTATGCCAAATACAACAAAAGACCAATAATTTGGCATGTTTTTAGGGTTATCAAACACAAATTTCATAGTGGCCTCTCCCCTCCCCCCAAAAAAATGATGTTTTTTTTGTATGTGTGTTTCTGTTGGCTAGTTATTGAATGTAATATTAAGGAAAGGGGGGGGAAATAACATAAATAATAAAGAGGATTTAAATTTTTTTTAGATTGGTTGTATGTTGAAAAGTTGCCTTTAATGTGTAAAATTTCTTCTGAATTAGATTTAATCTTTCTTCAAAGTTAGCATATTAATTCCTTTAATTATATTGTAATTTAGTAATATTTTTCAGACTGAATGGCTATTAGTTTTAAATTGTAATATATGTGAATATATATGACATAATAAGATGCTTTATTAGTGTTTGGAACACCAAAATCTTCTAAGTATGTGTGATCTATATGGATATAACAAAGCATGGTTTGTTTTACTGCCAAGAGTAAATCTGGCATAGTAAAATCTGAACAAGAAGGCTGTTTGACTGTTATATGTCTACTAGTCTACTATTACAATAAATATTTCATTAACTGAGAGAATGTCATTGCATGTTAATAAGAAAAGTTTAACAAAAAAAGATGGCATGTGTAATAATTTGGGGCGGGGAAAAGTTGTTTCATTTAGAGATCACCAGCTTGCTCTTGTTGGATAAAAGTGCTTGCAGATGAAAAGGATCCCCCCCGATTGTCCCCTCTCCCCCCAAAAAAAAACAATAATACTTTCTTGCAAATTTGCTTTATTGTGAACTGACCCAACAGACGAGACTTTCAATTAAAACAATAATATTTCTTGCAAATTTGCTTTATTGTGAACAGAGTCGTAGCTAGGGTTTTCAGCGCCCAGGGACAACTGAAGATTTCGCGTCCCCTACTGGTTACCAAGGTTGGAAAACATTTAATTCTAAAATGTCGTAACATCAGTTTGGCGCCCCTTGAATTCTGCGCCTGGGAACAGATGCCCCCTTGCCCCCCTCTAGCTACGCCCCTGATTGTGAACTTACCCAACAGACGAGATTCCCCACCCTCATAAAAGCACTTTTTGAACTTCTCATCAGTGGCTGCAGATGGTGTGCTTCAGATATTGTGCATACCTAATGTCATATCTTGACGACATATCACCTTTTACTAGGTTCTTTATGCTATGATAAGTAACTACTGATTGAGTGAAGTCATCTGTAAGCTGCTTATCTGATAAGTGAAAGAGCAAAAAATGAAGGAGTTGGAAGAATAATGCAGCTATCTGAATTTTTTGTTGGGGGGAAAATTTTCATAGAAACATTTCAACTTAACCAATTTCAACTTTACTTAACCAATACAAGAATGAATGCATGATGGAACACAGCACTATGATTGGTTTCAGCATTTTAAGGAGGGAGAAATTCAGTTACTGAAGATTCAAGGATTGGATGACCTTACATGTCAGCCGATAACCAGCATATTTAGAATGTATATACTGTAATTTCTTTAAAATTGTTGGTTTATTGTCCATAGAGTTTGAAGAAGCTTCTGTAACTGTAGGATCATGCTATCAAATCCCAGCTGAAAAGTTTGAAGTGTGTCATATCAGTACAAAATTTGGGCCATATTTGTTGACAAATGAATCGAATTAAAATCTCAGGAATTGTCTGCTTACAAATGCAAATGTGAACAATAGCTTCCTCAAGAATATCATAACAGGAGATGAGACATGGGTGTTTAGATGTAGAAACAAAAAGGCAGTCTTCAAAATGGATGCGTTAAGGATCTGCTCGACCGGAAGTGTGGATGAATTATTCAGACGGCAAGGTGATTATGACTTGTACCGCATAGTCAGACAATAAACAAGGAAATTTACCAGAGAATTCTAACATGATTGTGAGATGCTTTGCATAGGAAGAGACCTGAACTGTAGAGAAATCAGTTGTGGATATTGTGTTATGATAACATGCCAACTCGCGCTTTGCACCTTGTTACCAGTTAACTGACAAAACATCAATCACAATTCTGTTGTGACCTACCCATCCTATTCTGTGGACTTGGCTTTGGAAAACTTGTCTGCCTTTCTAAAACTTAAAACCAATTTGAAAGTTTTTTTAATCCATCTAGGAAACTTGGGAAAATGTATCAAGAGTACTGCATGCCATTTAAGAAAGTGATTTCCAGAAACCCTTCCTGAAGTAGTAGAAATCATAGCAAAGGTGTATTGGAGAGTGTATACTAGACGGAAGTGCTTTGAAAGGGAATGGTGGTTGATGGTTGGTATGGTGGGAAATAAAGCAAGAACAGTAAAAATTTGGTCTTTTTTTTTTAAGAGTCCTTTTATATAGCAGTTTTAATATTTTTATGTGGCTTTCAACAGTTTAATTTTACCTAATATTTTTATTATATTCTTTTCTTATTTCTAAACAAACAATTTGTTTCTTTTTCTTACATGCACACACACATGCAGCTTCTCTCAAAGTGAAATCTTTTTAAGGATTGTTGTGTACAGTTAAACTGTTGAAAGCATCATTATTTATGTGCAGATATGATTTTTAAATATTTGGTATAAAGATCTAATACTAAAATCCATTTTTATTCAAAATGTAATTTTTTTGATATGTATTATAAATAGTGATATTTTTAATCAATATTTTAATATGTTTATTGTTTTTCTTTTTAGTGCCCCGAGAAAAAGTGATTTTGCTGACGCATGACAAGAATCTTGTTAATAAAGCTCTTGTTTGTGATATAGTTGTCCATAATTTAGAATCTATGATGAAAGCATTGAAACCAGATGTTATATATAAAGGTTAGTGTTTAAACATATTTAGAATAATTTAATTTGGTAAAATTTTCACTTTAAAAGAAAATGGTATAATATTTATCCTTGTACTGTTATATGTAAGGGTGGTAGATTTCTGCCAAAGTGATTAAAACTGGAATGACAAAACTAATTTCTGTCATAAATTTGGTAGTAACTGGCAAAAACTGATAAAATAATGGAAGATAATAATACCCTGTATAGCTTGAGTTGCTCCTCATAATTTGGAAATGCTAGTGCAATTTATGGCTAAAATCATTATGGATTAAAAAGTTTTATTCTTTGTATTAGGAATAAAAATTATATATATATATTATACATATATATATATATATATATATATATATATATATTTAAATATAGAACTAGCTAAATTTCATGTTTTCTTGTAAAATTAAAATGTGGCCTATTCAGAGCACTCTCTAGTTGTAGCTTAAAAAAATCTGCCTCACCCCTCCAAAAAAAAATTAGTTAATTTCTGTTAGGTAGCTCATTGCATCAAAATATAAACAAGCTACAAATTTCAATACAAGCATAATTTATTTGTTACAGACTGTTTAGCAATGTAAAATATTTTGTTCAACGTGGGCTCCCTCATTAAGGTGTAAAATGAGCAGCAGTTGACCTCTAGTGATCTTTCGTACGTGCAACAATTTACTGCTGTTTGGTCAGTTTAAGTTGCAAGATTGCTTTTATAAACCACACTCTTTAAATGACTCCATAACCAAAAATCACATGTAATGAGATTGAGAGAAGCGGCTGGCCAAGGAGTAGGAAATGAATGGATAATCAGCAAGGTTGCTGCATAAACCCTTGCACAGAGCCCTTTATGTTGAGGGGCACCATTCTGCATAAAAGTGGTAGATGCAAGACATTGTCATTGCTGAAGTTGAGATAAGACTGGCTATCTATCCTGCGAACCTTACGGTATATGCAGGGATTATTGAAACTTTTTAATTGAAATTGAATTCAACCACCGTACTGTATATAGTTTTACTGGCCAAAAGATCCATTAACCTCGTCAACAAATATCTTTTTATTAATCAAAAATACAAATCATTGAATTTACATTTATACAAAAATTTACAAATTTTACATAAATAATATATCCTATTTAGCATCACAAAACTTTAATCAATCAATTATACAACTTAAGATAATTGGATCATGTTCTTAATTAACAAAATCTGTTTTTATAAATGAAACAGAGACTATAAATATTCTTTTCTTACAAGTCCTATAGTAACAAAAAAATCATATTAATAACCTATTACAAATTTAAACAAAAATACAAATCCTTTGCAGGTTTTCTTTTTATTAGAACCATTAACCATAATCAGTTCTTCTAATCAATAAATCATATTGTCTTTTTAGACATTCACAAATTTTATCTAGACTAGAATATTTAGAATCTAACCCAAGTTTATATTTTGTTATTTGCTTCTATACAGTTTATACATTCTAGATCTTCCTTACAATACCAATGATTGTGTCCTTTTCGAGCACATCTAGCACAAATATGATTTTTGTACATTTTTTATGAAAGTGACCAAATTCTTGGCGCTTAAAGCACCTAACAACATTCAAGTACTCTTTAATTGATATTCGGAACCATTTCAAATTAATTTTCCCTTGATTTATTACAGATTTAAATTTAGCAGGCTGAACTTCAGCCACCCAATGCAACTTATTATTTTTTTCTTTAATTGAAAACAAAAGTTCAAAGCCTCCATTTTCAAAAATGTGATTTTGTCTAATCACTGATTCTTGGATCTCTTCCTTCTTTAATTCAGCTTCTCTATTATATAATATTATCTTTGGATGTTTCTTTTTTGGAGCCTTTATTTCAACACCTTCTTTCAACAAAATATTTGATCTTATTTCATCCTCTAAAATATCAACTTCTTCTTTATTTACACATTCTATAACAATTCCTCCATTGTTAATTTTTCGAATATTTCTTATTCAAATCTTTAATTGAACCAGGTTTTATTGCTTCAACCACCTTCATTTTCACTTCTTCTGACGAAACCCCTCTCACCCTGTGATATAACAACATCACACGTTCTTCCTTTTTTAAAATTTATCCTTCTTTTGAGTCAATTTCTTTTCAACTCTTTGTTCTTGAACAATTTCAGCAAAGGACTTTTCTAGCAAAGGTTGTGGTTTCTTTATCACCTCTAATTTTCCTTTCAAAGTCTCTATTTCCAATGCTTGTGAAACAATGTAACCAAATAGCACTTCTTGTGCTTTAAAAATCCTCTTATGAAGAGGTATAGTGACTCTAAAGGCATTTTCTCGTCAAGTTTCTAATTCACTGATAAGTGAGCGAGCCTCCTCAATAAGTTCTGGTTGAACAACAGTCTCTGTCTGCACGCTTTCATCCATTTTTGAACAACTTTAAGTGGAGTTTGGATTAGACCTCCCCCCTTGGGAGGAGGAGCCCCCAGACCACCACAAGGTTCCAAACTCCTGGGAAGTTTAATTAGCTTTCAAAATTTGCAAGTATATAAATACTTTCATTCAATATCGCTTCCAATCACTTTATAAAAACTTGGCTGTTTTAAGGATACGGGCGACACAAGGAGGTTAGAATAGATGTATTTAATCATGCAGACCAAAAATCATGTGATGTCCCATTCAAACTATTCTCACCTCCGTGCAAGAGCCTTAGGTGAAAGAAAAGAGTGAAAGTGTCCCATACAAGCTTTTCTTTTTCTTCGTCTTCGCTTCCCTCCTTAAATTTGATTTTTTGATTTGCGTGTAGAAAGACTTGGCCGTTGCAAAACAAGCTATATCTCTATGTTGTTTGTCAGTCTGTCTATCTGTTTTCATTTGAGGTAAGATAGCTGTTGAGTATGCCATGATATCTGAGGTCCGTTACAGAACATGTTACAGGGCCATTATCATAATTTTCATCAAAGAATGGTCCAAAAATGAAGTGGGAAGTGAACTCACTCCAGATTGTAACTTTAGGCAATCGTAGTAGAATTGTGTGGATGGCACGTAGTTTTTCCATGGCCCAAATTTAACAAATTTAGGTGTTCACTATTTTGTTGAGATAAAAATATGCCTCTTCATTCAGGCAAGAAAAGTCAGTGCAAAAGATAAGCGACAGTCAGTGTCGGTAGGCAGTTGCTGGATGTGGCTGATCTTAAGTGTATAAAATTGCACTATTTTTCTCAGTATGTTCCACGCTGTTCCATGTGATATGTTGAATTGTCATAACACTGCACATGCATTACTGATAGCATGATCAGCCATCACTGACTGCTTGACAATGGCTGTTGCTACCTCTGAAACGAGTTCTACACTGTTAGGCTTTAACCCTCTGCCATGCTGAATGTGTAATGACCTAGTTTTTTTAAATTGAGATATCATGTCTCACACCTTGTGGGGACATTGGTCCCCAGCACAACTTCTTTTGACAGTGAAACTCACAAAGTGTTGCTGCAACATTTCGTCCATGATTTTTGTAAAATAATTTCTCATTTAACACATATTTAGTAAACTAAAAGTCATTGCAACTGTAAGAATGCCGTTCACTTGATCTCCTCCTTTTTATAATCACAACTCATGCTGAATTCATCTGCTTTTGCAAATCAGATTGCTTTCTTCTTCACTGGCAGTACCACAATTATCATTTTTTGTCATATTGCTTCAAAATGTAAAAGTAACAATTTCAAATGCCGTAATTTTTGGAAATGTTAAAATAGTCTACAGTTATTTATTGTGTCTTTTCAAGCATTTTGTCTGTAATGCATCCCCTAGCAGAAATGTTTTGAACTCCCTCCCCTGGGAATCTTTCAGCACACCGTATGAATTGTTTATTTACAAATTTTAATCTGCATTTTAGTTGAAGCTATAGAGGGCTCTGAATAGGCCAAGCTTAATTACAATCACCCTGTGTATGTTGAATCATGTTTTAAAAAGTTTTTTTTAATAAAATTTTAGGAGTGAGAGATAATTCTCCTAATTCTCAAAGAAAGGCTATTGTGAAAGGATCAAACATATTAGTTAGTCTGGTAAGTACTTTATTATGTAATTATGATTTTTAAGTTTTTTAAACTTGCCAAGCATTTTTGTGAATAATAACTTCTTCAGGTATGATTTAAAATCTTTTTGATTGTAAATACTTTATATTAAATAATTTGAATAATGTGTATGTATATATATACTCCTCATATTCTGGAAAAGTGTTGGCACTTAGAGCTGCCAAATTTTGGAACTGCTGTGTCCCTCCTTCCAAGAATTTTGAATTTCAAGTTTGTTTTTTTATTTTACTTTCATATTTAAAGTCTATGAAATATGTCAGTTTTTATGTTTTAATGTGCCCCACCCTTCAAAATCGTACATAATTTTAAAATATCAGCTCTTGATTTTTCCTCCCAGAGTTATTAAAAGTTTGCCAAAATCTGGCTTCATTTGTCGTATATATTGAATTTATGCCATCTTGAAAGATCTTCCATCGTGATCTGCTATGTATGCCATCATTATCTGACAAATACTATAAGACTGTAATTATCTTTTAGGAAATTAAAAGAATCATCAGCAAAATAAAAGAAATGTGTTGCCACAATATGAATTAAAATATTATTATCTTTCACATGATAGTGTTTTGTTCTTCAACAAAGCATAAGATATTTGATTTTTCTTTCTAATTTATTCTAGCATTATTTTAATTTAATGTCATTTAAAACTGAACTTCAATCTCTTGTTTATCTTTTCTCACATGAAAAGTTATTCCATGTCTCATGTCGCAGCTATTCTGAGAAAAATATATGTTTACATATTCAATCATAATAAAAAAATTAGCTGTCAATATTTTATGGATAAGTGATTAAAATTTACAAAAAAGTAATGATATTTGCTGATACTTTGCTTTTTAAATTTTTAAAATGAATTTTTGAAAATATAGAAAGTTATCAGCTGATTGATTCATGCAATGAAAGTATATGATGATAATTGAAGAGTTAAAAATTGAAAGCTATGTATTTTTGTAGCAACTTAAAATGGAAAGAATAATATGTGAACTGATGGAAATTTAATTTTTGAAAAATAAGGCCAGAATACTAGAAATCTTGTAATTTACTTCAGAAAAATGTCTCATATTGTAGTGATTTTAGCATCATACAAATAGTACACATTTTGCATAGTAATAAATATACTAAGTTCATAGTGTATGTGTAGGATAGAGGAAATACTGTTTAAAAAAAATAAGATCAAAACTGTAATCTGTTTTTAAATTTAAGCTGTAAATTACTTATCAGTAAATTGTCTGCCTGAATTTTAAAAGATGGGTTGTTATAATTTTATTGATTTTTGTGAAATATTTTTAATTAGAATTGATTGAAAATTAACAATTAATTTATGAAGAAAAAACTATCAGTTTCATAAATGTACTTTAAAAATTGCTTTTATTTAGGTACCTGGTGAAGTTGGGAGTTCAGAAAGTCAAGTTTCCCGGGAATCAGAATCTACTGAAAAAAAAGCAAAAAAGAAGTTGCGCAAGCAACAAGATTTATATAAAAGAGTATGTATATTAATTATGAGTATTTTCATTAACATATCTATGTTAATTTTTTCTTTTGTTATTAACAGGCACTGGGGGCTTTGTTTCATGCTGATAATAGTTTTCATGTTGAAGCAAAATTTGTAGAAACATTTAAATTGAAACCATTTAGAACTGTAGAAGTTTAGAGAGTGCACTTCTTTAGGTGGGGATGGGGTGTAGGTCTAGATGTAATTCGTAAATTTCAGCTGCAGAATATGTGAAAGAAAAGACTGTCCCCAAAGTATAAATTTTATATTGTTCTACATGCAGCAAGCCCTCACCTGCCTAAAAATACTGGACAGGAGTTATATCACAAATTTACTCAGCTGCAAGTTACGCATGTAATATATATTATGCATTTTTAAATTCTTTAAAAATAAAATTTCTTTCTTTTTCCTTTTCATAAAAATGCAGAAAATATTTATTAAAACTCATAAAAATCTTACATTAGTTTCAAGTAAAGAATAAATTCTTTCATGGATCAGCCTTCAAATGTTTGATTCGTAAATGTTCTTTGATGTGCATCATACTTTTTTGGCATATTTTGATTTGGAGAGCTTGTTGCTTTTATATCTAAAATATAAAAAATAAATAAATAAATAAATAACTTTTGCTGGGGGAGGGGAGAGTACCATTAGTTTTGTAGTGATATTGAGTACCTTTGAAAAATCATACAAAAGAAAAAATTTGTCTGTCTAAGCAGTTGAGCATTCTCTTATTTTGTCTTTCATATTAGTAAAAGCAGATGACAAACACCTCATATTTTGATGCTGTGATAGGCGGACAGAGAAACCTTAGAAGTGGTGATCTGACAAGCATGGCCTCACACATAGCCAGTTTTCAGAGTACTGCCTTGTAAAGAAACCTCCCTTTTAGACAAATACCACATGATCACTTTGCTGTAACATTAAGCAAGCAAAATGTGTCCACTTCAACAGTCTTTTTTTATATTGTAGACAATGTCACAGCCAGTTTTCAGAATGTAGACTTTCAGCAAAACATAAGATTTTGTCTTCAGATTTAATTAGCATGTATTTGCTTATTAACAGATTGAACAATTTAGAAACAATAAACACGGTTCTTAGTAATGTAAACATTTTATTATTATAATAAGGACTAATATATATAAATTGAATTAAGATACCCAACCAGCAATTTTTAAGAACATTTGGAGCATTATTGAAATGAAAAAGGAGGGCAAGTATCTTGTGGCTTATATGGTATATCTGGTATAGAACTTTACTATTAGGGCTATGTACTTATCTATAAAATTGGGTTGAAAATAAAAAACAGTATGATTTATACATGAAAATAGTAGAATGTATATGAAAATGGTTTATTAAATCTGAAGAAATATGTATTTATTTGGTTGAGGGAATTTGGCATATTCTGAAAATTTGACATCTTGTACTCATTAATTTGTTAAGTAATAAAAGTATTAACTTAAAATACCAGATATGTAGAATTGCTCAAATCAGTGATGCAGAAATCAAATGGAAAACCCAAAGCTACAATAAAAAGCAAAATTTGCCCAAACATCATAAATATATAAAAACTGTGAAAAATCAATAGTGAATGTAAAAAAGGGGGGGGTTAAGAAAGGAACCAAAGTGATGAAAAAGAAACCAAAGTGATGAAAAGGAAACCAAAGTGATGAAAAAGAAAAATTCTAAAATGAAGTTTCAAAATTTATTTTTGTAAAGGAACTGAAAGTAACTAATTAAGTAAAAAGAAAATGTTTATTGTTTTTAAATTCGAATTAAATTTGTAAAGCAAAAATATAATTTTTAAACAATACTGAATGCTTCTTTTTAATTTTGATTTTTAATGTTTGAATTAAAAAAGTTTTTTTTATTTCTCTCTCAGTTGCTTGATTAATTCTTCTTTTGATCATTCAGATAATATGGAAACCTGCCTCCGCTAAAAATTATTTGGTTTACTTAAAAATTAATTAGTACATGCGGTTAAATTAAAATAAAAAATATAATAAAGACTTTAGATTGACACGTTAGAACCATATTTAGACACAAGTAAAATGAAAGTTTGGGAGCTTTAACAGATGACTGGTCTGCATTGTCAGCTAGAGTTGGAATCGATAGAATAACATATTCATAATGTGCCTAAAAATATTCATAATTTGCCTAAAAATGCCCCTGCGTTTTCTGCAGGGTTGCTGTGCTCAGAATTGCAGTACTTCCAAGTGCAGCATTGCTGCAGAAACCAGTTGCAGTCCTGAGTAGTCCAACCATGTAGGAAATATATATATGTTCCCTATCTTATGAATGAGTTCTGTTCTGAACATCCCTTCTTAACATGAGGTTGTTTCTTAGAAGTTACCAAGTTCATTACTCATATCCTAACGATGTGTGTAAGATAAGAGCTGAAGTATTATCATATAAACAATGAAAAATATTAAAAACAAATAAGTAATACATTAAAAATTTTAAATATAGTAGGTTATGAATAAATAAAAAATTGCTTTGCTATACAGTACTTAACCTTGGATTGCCATCTTTGAGGGCATGTGTGTATGGAATGAGGCTAGTAGATCTGTACATTGGTAGAGGTGAGTCAGCATTTGACTTGCCCTCTGAAGACTCATTAACAAGTAAAGGGGTCTTTTGTGATGAGAGGTAGAAGAAGTTGGCATGTTAAATGAGCCAGCAACACAATTTCTGAAGCATCTTCTTAAGGAAATAAGAGTCTAAACCTATCTGGATGGATTTTCTTCTAAGATAATTTTAAATAGAAAACATAAATAAGGTGATGACACTGTATGGCTTCATTCATAGCATTTTACTGTAGCAAATCTCTTAGAATTTGTTTATTTTCTTTTTGTCTCAAACAGTTTCGCTCTTGGAGGCCAGGTTTGGTCATATCTGTGAAATTTCGTATGGTAGGGAGCTTCTATATGCACATGCACACAAGCACAAAGAGTTTTAGATATTTGCATATGTAATGATATGCAAACAGTATTTTAAATTTTTTTAAATCAAATTATGAAAACATTAGTTTCTTTTTTAAATTAGAAAGATATTAATTTTATATCGAAAATAAATATTTTAAAAATTAAGTTCGTAACTTCGCATTATATTATCTCACTTCAGAGTGCACTCTAATCCTGTCAGAACTGTCTGGAATAATAAGATTCTTTATTATTTGGTTTTATTGAATTTATTCTAATATTTATGCATATTTTCAGAAAATTCATAGTCATATGTCTACTGCCAGGCAGCTGTTAAAAGATGCTTTAGAACCATTTTTAGAAGCAGAAATGAATGAAGCTTATGGGGAAGCATGGTAATTTTTAAATTTCTTTGCTTATGCTTTTTATGTCAATAAGCTTTTATTATTTAATACTGACAGCTGCAACTTATTATTTTGGGGAGGGACCATAAAGAAACATTTATTGCAGGAAAAGAATGAGAAGTACTCTATATATGTAACTACTAAAAAGGTAGTTTTTTTAAGTGTACGAAGGTTAAACACAAATATTTTAATTGCACTATTTAAAATGCAAATGCTTTTTCTTTCTTCTTCCCCCCCCCCCCCCCGAGAATTTTTTTTTTTTTTTTTTTTTCTTGTTATTATTGCAGAATGGAATCCTTGACAGGAAGTTTAAATTAAATAATGTGGTGAAAAATGATTCGAAGTTGCTAGTGTATTATGGAATTAAAAACTATTTAAAAAGTTTACTTAATTTTTAGTTTCAAAACAAGCTAATTTTTATGTTTTTGAATGAACTTTAAAATAATAATGCTTTTAAGTCCTTTCTCCTGCCTTTGTAGTATTAATGTTATGTTTTAAATTTAAAACTGTAAAGGAGTTATAACTAACTTTGATCTTTGATTATTTGTTTCAGTTCTAAATTTTTAGTTTATTTTTTATATTTTCGAAAATGCATTTTCCCCTCCTAATAAAACCTCTGTCCATGGAAATATTATAGTAACTTAACAATCAATATGATATAGCAACATTCCATCAGCCTGTCTGATTGCTTGAAACCTTTGGTGCCTGAAATCTGTATTTAATCACTTTTTAGGGAAACCTCTATCAAAATTGCCTGAAATAGTTGAAGAAAATAATCAGTTAAAAAAGTGCATTGCGTATCTAACACTGATAAGTTAAAAAAATTAAACCTCAAGAAATGAGAGAGCAAAACATGCCAAAACCAAAAATAAAAGATGATATTTACATCTCCCACTGCATTGTCATCTGTGGGTTAGTGCAATGAAAGAAGTAATTAAATAAAATAAGCTGTTTCTGATCTAACACTGACCAGTTAAAAAATTAAACCTCAAGAAATGAGGGAGCAAAACATGCCAAAACCAAAAATGAAAGATTATATTTACATCTTCCACTGCATTGTCATCAGTGGGTTAGTGCAATGAAAGAAGTAATTAAATAAAATAAACTGTTTCTGAACTGATAGGGATACAAATTAAAGTTTAAAATTTAAAAATAGCTATAGAAAAAGGATCAAAGTAGCTATCTTTATCAATTCATACCTTATAGGCCTTAAGTAAGTAGTGGGGAAGTTGTAGCATAAAAAAAGAAACAAATTCAAAATAATTGCAAAATAATAGACAGATTACAGAAAATTGAGTAGATAGAATCCAAAAACATAAGTTGCAAAAAGAATAAGTAATGCAACACTTGAAAAAACAAAACCACATGGAAATTTTTTAATTCAAAATTTTAAAAGCAAAACTAAATGTTATTTTGAAATCATGCAGTCTGGCTTAATAAATAAAAGCAAAATTCATATACAAGCAAGAAAGCTTAAAAACATGTAAAACAGGAGTAATCCAACATGTTCAAAAATAAAAGAAAAAGGAAACTTTGATCTGAAAAATATAGGCTGTGGTAAGCAGT